TCCTTCCTTCCTTCCTTCCTTCCTTCCTTCCTTCCTTCCTTCCTTCCTTCCTTCCTTCCTTCCCATTCTGCCTTGATGTGGTTTTTTAAATCCGCATTCATTCCTCATCTGTTCATTCTTGAGCTTGATTCTCTTCTTTGACCAGGCAGACTTTCTTGGTCTGACATTCTCCTGACATACTCAGCTCTCATTCCCATAGAGCAGAGTGCTGTCACACTGGGCCATTTTCACTTTGAAGAACAAAAATTCTTCAAAAAGGTCACAGACCAGCTACTGCCTTTCTACCGGCTTTGTCTGGCTTAACATTTGTTCCTCCATTTTCTCATCTAGGAAACATGCTTCCAAGGGATGCAAACTCATTACTTGCTCTGCTTTTACACCGTATATGCATAACTTGAAATTGTTCACTCCATTTTCTGCTTTCAAACTCCACTTCTTGTGTCCTGACATGTTGCTTTTCAGATGGATGCTGCGTGTTGCAGCATACGGCCTCAGTCGCATTTGCTGCAGATTATTCAGGTTCTCAGCCAGCAGCATTTTCTCCATCTGAAGGTGAACACCCATTCTTGTCCCAGACCAGCTCAGGTGGGCAGCCGTGTGTCCTTTACAACTGCCCAACTAATGGCTGCCCGTCTAACCAATGGATCTCTGGGCGGGGAACCAGGGAAAAAGTGTGCAATACCTTATCCAGTCAGTGAAAGGAAAAACCAATCTGAAGCCCCTATAAAAATCTCGTGGCCAACATAACCCATGCGCCCGTGCCAGAGTCCATCGGCATCCTGGCCCAGCACTGGGGGGGGGGGGGGACCCCGGCCCCACCCCCCCCGGCTTGTGGGAAGAGCAGAAACAGTTGGGGGTAGCCTGGTCCCATGCCAGATGGGGCCTTCTACGCATTCTGTTCAGAAATTGATCTGTCTTGTAATGCTTCCGGCATCCGCATTCCTTTCACTTCTCTTTTCTTTCTTCTCCGTTTTTCCCAAGATCAACCCTTGGCCCTGTGAAAAAACTGCCTGCCTGCCTGCCTGCCTGCCTGCCTGCCTGCCGAGCCTCTCCTCACCTTGTATCCTCCCCTCGTGCTTTTGGTCATAAACAGAGTTGCGTCGTACCTGTGCAGGCATTATTTTGCCAAGGGCGCTTATGAAAAGACTCAGACTATGTACTAGAAATGGGCCTTCCTTTAAGCAGATACACACCAAACACCAAAGTAATTCTCTAGGCTCTGAATGGCCCCTTTTCCGTATTTTTTTCATCTTGGCCCCTCCTACCCATTCATATCACATCACAAAATACTGTTTTGGCTGGTACGACCACCTGGATGGCACTATTCTTTCATTTACTACATTTTAGCTCTTCCAGTCATAGGGAAATCTGTACTGTTTCCCTGCATGTCTTCGCCAGCTCCACGAGATCAAACTGCCTTCGTTCACAATTGCTGCACCCTTTCCCTCTTGGGTAGCTGCACAGCCTCACAGCTCGCTCGCGTGCGTGCTCTCTCTCTCTCTTGGCTGCTTCATTAATTCAAACTCTTTGCAGATCATTCTCTAACGTTCCAGTTGCAACCTCCGTATCAGTTTTGTCGGTGAGGTGGATGTTTTGGCCAGGATGTCACAACCGCAGCCACTGTTCGGTTTCTGATTCTATCCAGGATCTCTGTTCTAGAGATGATCTTAGAATCAGAACCACAGAATCCAAGGGTTGGGAGGGACCTTGGAGGTCAGAGGACCCCTCTGACCCCTCTCCCAGGGCAGGAGTCCCAAACTTGGCTTGAAAACCTCCAGTGATGGGGCCACCACAACTCCAAGCGGGAGGCTGTTCCTCCTTATCTTGAATCTGGATCTCTCTCAGCAAAGCTTCTATCCCCTGGTCCTTCTCTTACCCCTGGGCATTACAAAGAAAGCCCTTCAAGGATTGGAAGACCACTGTCATGTCTCCCCTCTGCCTTCTCTTCTTTAAGCTGAAGAGATCCAGTTCCTTTAGCTCTTCTTCATTGGATTTAGTCCCCAAGTCCCACACCATCCTTCTCTCCCTCCTCTGCGCTCCTTCCAGGCAGCATCCAGTGTCTTGCGAGGCAACGCATGGTTGCCTGTGTCGCACCAAGCTGGAGGCGCACGCACAGCAGGCACATGCGCTCAAGATGTGAATTTTCCTGTGTCTGGGAATCCGTAGTGTGATTCTCCAAGACAGGCATGGTAAATACACGAAGTGGGGTTCCCCCCTCCAGAATATGTTCGCAGCTGTGCTGATCCCCAGTCCTGCAGTGGGAGGGGATGAGTTTTTTTCTAGCCCCCGTAAACCAAGCTCTTCTCATTTCTGGGTGGGAAAAGCCCTCGGCTGGGGAGATGGGGCTGTGTGCGTTGGGAGTGTCGGGGTGGGGTTCAGGTCCAGAGAAGTCCCCTAGCCCTCTTCTCGGGTGCCCTTTCCCTTTCGTTTCAAGTAGGCGCCCGTTGCAACCAAGTCTGGTAGCCTGTGCTCCAGGACCGATGGCCCATCTTGCTTTCTAGATGGCCGTGTCTCCCCCTTGGGCGCCTCAGCCCCAGAATGTGATGAGAGCCTCTTCTGGCATTTTCCTGAGTCCTCCTTTGGCCCCTGGCCGGCTCCTGCCCCCAAATCCTTTTCTCACCCCCATTGGAGCTCAGGAGGCCAACAATGTCATCCTGGGGGAGTCAGCTGTGCAGGGCGGAGGAGTCCAGGTAGGCCGTGGGGAGGAAGGCGGGCTGCTGTGCTCCACTCCGCTCCCCTTGCCCGCTTTTGGGGAAAAGGAAAGTTTAAGGGTTTCAGTCAGTTGGCAAAGGTCTTCATATTTAGAGGGTCCCCTGGAATGTCATGAGGGGGGCATTTCTCTGCTGCCGTTTCCTTTATGTCCATCTTTATTCTGAATGACTGCTTGTGGGTGAAATAATTGCCTGCCTTGTCCGGTCTCCCAGCTGTTGCTTGATGGCTCTGGTCAGATGCTACAGCATCGCACAGCAGTCCTGGAAACCCTGTGGGGTGCCAGTCCTCTGCAGCTGTTGCTCTTCATTTATGTTCTTCCTGCCTGTCCTGTGACTGGCCCTTGCCCCACACGTGAACAACACTCAGGGGGTTCCATCTGCCCTTTTACTAAGTTAAGCCTGGTAGATTGGGACGGGGAACCTTTGCAAAGAGGGGAACATTTGTGGAGTTTAATGAGTTTCTGAATGCTGTGCTGATAACCCTTCCTCCTGGCAGGGGCAGGATCCTGGTTCTCCTCTTTCTTACTTGCTGAACACAGTGCCCACCGTGCCCCCTGTTCCCCATCAAGCCTTGCCAGGGGTCCAGGGTCAAAGCACATCCTTGGGGCAGATGGGAGGAGCAGCACAAGTTTTGACCCCAGGACGGCTGCCAACTCCAGAGCCCCCTCCGCAGCCACTGCCATGTCTGAAGTCAGCCCAGGGCCCTGGCACCCTGGTGAGTGTTGGGTCGTTTCGCATGGCATCCACCAGCAGCGCCTTTGAGCAAGAGAGCCAGTGGTACAAAGAAGGTTTGCTGGTGTGCTTCCAAAGGGGGTGGAGAAAATCCTTGCTGAGATTTGTTTTTGGTGCTCCTGAGGGCCTTCTGCCTCTCTTTCTCTCCTTTTCTGCCTCTGCTTGGATTTTAATGCCTCTCTTACATACAGGGAGCATCTTTTCCGCTTTTGAAATTGTGCAAAAATGTTCTTGTAAAATCCAGCCGTGGCTGAACTGGAGGCTTCTGGGGTGCTTCACTGGAGCTTGTAGAGGGAAGCTCTCACTGGGACTTGAGTGCCCGCTTGGCATGCAGAAATTCTCAGGCTTGAGGGAGGTTGGACCCGGAGCCCTGGAGTGGGACCGCCAGTCTGAGGAGGGACTGAGCCTGCAGAGCATGGAGGAAGATGGGGTGTGAGAGCTAGCTGGCTTCCAAGGTACCCCGACATTGCTAGGGAATATAAGAGCCCTGTTCCGCTTCCCTTCTGCAGCAGAGGGCCCTTCCAATGCAGAGCCTCTTAATTAGCAATTATATAAACCCAGGAGGGGATCCTGAGTTCAGAGAACAGGGGCTGAAGGAAGTCTCAGAGGAGCCACTCTTCGACTCAGAGTTTCCAGGGAGAACAAGTGTCTTCATTTACTCCTTCCCTGAAGGTTAGAACTCTTACTGGTCACCGAGACATTTCTGACTTTTGCTGCTTGTTTTCAATCAGGCGGAGCCCCATATTGGGACCAGAGATGCTGCCTCACACGGGCTGTTGGGTAAGCTGACGGGGTCCTGTTTTTTCCACCTCCCTCAATGTCCTCCTGTGTCCCTTCTAGCCGTCCCCTCTTGAGGATATGGGAGCGCCCTTCCCCAAGACCTGTGGCTCAAGAGCCCTTACACGGACCAGCACCTCCCACCTGCTTGTCAAAGGCAGTGCTGGGGGAGGGTGCCCAGGCCAGCTAGGAGTTCAGGATGCGGCAACTCAAGCCTATTCCCGCAGGCCAGCCAGAGGCCTCTGCCACTCCTTCCTGGGGGGTGGGGTGGGAGGTGGGCACTGCTGAGCCCCAGCCCTCCATTTCTTCCTGTGTGGGAGGACCAGGGTCCAGGGAAGTCAAGCTCGCCAGCCCCATCCCTTGAGTCTCCAGGGCAAATGACCCCCAGGTGGACCTCTGCCCCAAAGGCTTTTCTAAGGCCCCTTCTACCTGGATGTGGCTGCAAATGCTCCTGGAGGCCATGGAAGGTGCTCTTTCTTTGCAGGTAAACGGCGAAGACTAGCAGAAGGGGGATGGAGGGCGTCTCCTGCCGGTCCCGCTCCCTCGGCCCTGCCTGAGGCCCCAGCTCGGTCTTCTCCAGTGACTCTCGAGTCCTTGTACCGCTCGCTGGAGGACCTGAGGATCTCTGTCCTGCGTAACTGTAAGCTGCCTGGGGACCCTCCCTCTTGGGAAACCTGCCCTGTGGGTCCTGTTCTGACAGGATGGCGGCCCACCGATGCTCCCGCCCCCCGCCCCCTCCCTGAAGCCCAGTCTTACCCTCCCTGGGTTCCTTCCTTCTGCAGTGGGAGCTGTGCACAGGCAGGTGGAAGCTCTGGAGAAGAGGATTCATTTGCTAGAGCGCTGGCGGGCGGAGATGGAGGGGCGTTCGCACCCCCCCGAAACGCCGCCCCAGGAGCCCCGCCCGGCCCCCCCCCCCTCCACCCCTCCGCGCTGCGGAGCC